AGATATAACTAGTTGGAGGCAAAACGAATATGAGTTTGAGGTGACAGCATGACAATTTACGGAGCTGACAAGCATGAAGATAAAGATATAAACCTCATCTCAGAGGAGAGGCAGAATTGGAAACGCAGATTTTAGAATTATCACAGGACCATACGAGTGGGAGAATATCTGAAGTGAAACGGGCAATTGAACTAGAGGAAGAATTTTCCACAAAGCAGGAAGGCTAGGGAGGGGGAACATGCAAATTATCCCTAAAGCAGAGTGAGAATAGACTTAAAAGTTGAACAACTATGTCAACTGCTGAAGGGTCAAAGAGAAGAACCAAGACATTGCCTATGAATGAGCAGGTTGCCCTTGAGAAAGCGATGAAAGTGCTGTGGCTGAGATAGAAGACAGAATGCTTTCAAGAATGGGTTACAGAATGAGTCTACAGAGAGGAAATCTAGAAGACCAAGTCTTAAAATTTATATGTTGCAGCATCATCAAAGAAAATTACTGAAGTATTTGTTTTGTTTTTTTGAGGTTTCTGCATACAAATAGGACAGTCCAGTGGGGGACATGTGAAGAAAAAATCCTAGTAATGCTCCTTAGAGGTTATTAATAAAATCTATTGCTTACATGGTCTTGCTATGTTCTAGGCACTATTTAATGTGTCTTTTGCATTGAATACATTTATTTTTTCTCATAACACTTAAGAATTTGAGTCACTGTCACTCTTGAGTATTATTATCATTTCCATTTTAATATAATTAACTGGAGGCATAAAGAAACTGTATTTTCCAACATCATCTTAAAGGAATAGAGTTGAGAAATTAAATCATACACACTGATTGCTCTTACCTACTGGGCAGCATTACTTTCTAGAATTAAGAAGTAAGAGTAATGTCATTCTTCATGAGGTTAGAAATAGACTTAGATGTTTATCTAAGATGAAAGTACTTGTACACCATTATGTACTACATTACTTCCTATAATATATTTTTGTAAGAAGGAGGCAGGTGTGGCAGGAAGGATCTTATGGTAAATCATGGAGGAATATTGGTAATTTGGTGATGAAAAATGTATAATTATATTGGACTTTTAAAACATATAACCATTTATTATTTTGTAAACAAATTCTAGCTCAATTTTTTTACAAGAAGTCCTAAATAGAATTTAACCCATAATAAAATAAATATATAAGGACCTATTTTATATAAAAATAATTTAATAATTACATAGCAAAAGACAACGGGCAGGGAGTAGGGTGATGATTTATGCTGCACAGAATTTGATGAAGATTTAGAGGAGAGAGGTACACATTATAGATTCAACAGAAGAGTAAAACCTTTTAAACACCTTGTGCAACTTTATTTATTAAGGAATCCTAGAGTTAAGAATGGTTCTTCAGGAAGAAATGAGAAAATTTGAGTTTGGAAATAAACCTAAGAACTAAGCCCATAATGTGAAACCTAGGAATGAGTACGGGAAAGAAGTTAATATAGACGAAAGATCAGATTTTACAATTCCAGGAAAGGAGCTATTTTCATAAACTAGATACATCTTAATAATTTAGTATACTACTGGTTCAGCATTATAATGCCTGAGTTTCAAACAATAAATATCAAATTGGGTAATTAACACCTATTGTTAGGAGCAATTGAATGACAAGAGTAATCACATGAAGCTTCTACCAAGGAACATTCCTTTCATCACCATCATCACCATCATTATCATCATATTAATTGAGAAGTTAATGTTTATTTAATATCTATAAATTGCTGACTCTGAAAGACAAAATATACTATGAATACTGTTATATACTGGAAATTGCCATTCAACCTCAAATAGCTTCAGTCAGCAAAGGCTAAAAATGGGTTAAATTTAAGTTCTATTCTTGCTCAGTGTTGCAGGAGATGTCACGAAACATCAAAAAAGTGGGCCAGAGGCATACAGTTGTTAGAGATTTAGCCTTGCATGCAGGTTCATAATTCCCAGCAAGCCTAATGATCGCCAGAGCCTGCCAGGAGTGACCCCTGGGCATAGAGTCAGCAGTAAGCCCTGAGCATCACCAAGTGTGGCCCCCAAACAAACAAAAATCAAAATAATGAACTATTTAAAATAATTTGTTTTCAACATACAGCCAAAGAGAAGGATCACATGGAGGGCGGGAACCACAGATCCCGGAGGGGAAAAAAAAAACAGGTTCCAAAAAGAGCCGAGATCACCGGGAAGTCCCAGATGGGGTAGGTACCGCATCCCACCTCCCCCAGATGGAACCCCGGTGACCAGAAGCCTCTACAAGCACAGCTTGAGTATGCGGGAACTAGGACTTTTCCTTAAAACATAGACATCTCTCTATATACAAAGTGATCAATGGGAAGTAAACCTCCCAACCTTTCTCCCTGAAAATCAGAGTTAAGTTTGGAGCACGGCCACAGCCCCAGAAACACAAGGACTTAATGCAGAACCCAGCAGCTTGGAGCAGAAAAGTGAACGGACTATGCGTTAATCCAGGCCATCAAGTCTGCCGGAGGGGAAAGGGTCTTGCCCCATTCGCCCTCTCTTCTCTGGAAAGAAGGATGGCGGCCGCATGGGAGTCTCGTGGACAGCAGGCCATCATGTCTGCCCAGAGGGGAAAGGGTGTTGTCCCTTCCGCCCTCCTCCCTCTGGAAAGAAAGATGGCGGCCACATGGGAGCCTTGTGGACAGCAGGTATGAGCCGGGGGTGTGGGGGCGACTAAAACCTCATGGGAAGGGGGGCGTTCCGGTCCATCCTTCACGCCCTACAGAGGTCACCAGTTGCCCCCCACGAGCGGCTCTCCAGCACGGCCACAGCCCCAGAAGCACAAGGACTTAATGCAGAACCCGGCAGCTTGGAGCAGAAAAGTGAACGGACTATGCGTTAATCCAGGTCATCAAGTCTGCCGGAGGGGAAAGGGTGTTGCCCCATTCGCCCTCTCCTCTCTGGAAAGAAAGATGGCGGCCGCATGGGAGCCTTGTGGACAGCAGGTATGAGCCGGGGGTGTGGGGGCGACTAAAACCTCATGGGAAGGGGGGGCGTTTCAGTCCGCCCTTCATGCCCTACCGAGGCCACCAGTTGCCCCCCATGAGCGGCTCTCCAGCACGGCCACGACTCCAGAGCACAGAAACCAATTTCTTAACTATCTGACTTTCAGTAGAAATACTTCCAGGGTCAATAGGTAAAATAGCAGAAATCCAAAACCAACATTTAATTCTTGAACCCAGTGGTAAAAAGCAAATCACTTCACAATGCTTTTTCAGCATGTCTGATTGGGGGGGGGGGGGCGGTAAACTCTAAATAATAGTGGTGAATCTTTTATTGAAACAGTGAATCTAATCAAAGCAGATAGAGTGTTAACTAGAATTCATCTGCCTCACAGGGACGGGGAGGGGTGGGGGGTGGGGTTTTATTGGGGTTCTTCATGGGAAAAAATAAGTATTGGTAAAGGGAAATGTGTTTGATATTTGCATGACTGAGACCTAAACCTGAAAGCTTTGTAACCTTTGCCACAGTGATTCAATAAATAAAAATAAAATAAAATAAAATAAAATAAAATAAAAAAATAATTCGTTTATAATATTATTATATCAGATGATATTTTTTTAAATTTTTATTAGTGAAACACCATGAGTACAGTTGTAGACTTACAAATTTTTGTGCTTGGGTTTCAGTTATACAATGATCAAGTACCCGTCCCTCCACCAGTGCTCATTTTCCACCACCACGGGTCCCAGTATCCCTCCCATCCCCCATCCCCCCACCCCACCCTGCCTCTGTGGCAGATGATAATTTTTAAGGTAAAAAAATTATTATTGGACTTTTTTTACTCCATTTTAAAGATAAGTGGATTTTATAGATATTGTCAAGTGTTAAATCAGAGAATCTCAAATAAAATAAAACACATTAAAATATTATATTTTACATGAAATTCTTTTTTTCTAAACTAAGAGAAAGTAATATCCAAAGGTCGTTAAAATGTATCTAGTATTCTGCCCACAAATGTTTTATTTCTAAAAATGAATATTAGGAATGTTTGAATGCAAATTCAATTGTGATCAATGTTATTCAGTATAAAAAGCTAATTTTTTTTCCTAAGATAGTACTCACTATTTTTAGATAATTGCTTGAGCTTCTTTTCAAAGAGGCATTACAGAGAGTAAGGAATATTATTCAACTACTTTTTGGAGCATGTGATCTTGATTAATTTTAAATGATAGTGGTGAATTTTCTTAACTACAAAGAATTTTCAAAAAATAACTTAAAAACAAGATTTTGAATTTTATCAAAAGATAATTTGGTAAAACATCAAACCATTTGTAGAAAATGGGTCTGAGATTCTGTATTTACCAGGAACTACTTATGGTAACTCTCAGAGGAGGAAAAAACATTTATAAGTAATCCCACCTATTATTGACTACTTACTGTTGTCAAAACTTTTATAATTACATTCTAAGTGAACAATCCATGTTTTAACTGGTTTATGTAATTTTTCAGGTAATGAATGCTTTCAAATTTTAATATATACAATTGTTTGGCAGTATAAGCAGACAGATTTGTTCTTAATTAAAATCTTGATATCTGGCAAATACTTTTAGAAACTCTAAGCATTTTTCAGCTTGTTGACTGTATATGTGTCTTTCTTTGACACACTGTAATTTAAGACAATTTCTAAAAACACTAAGCCTAGAAAATAAATTAATAATGTCATCTTGTAAGATTTGGGAAATATTCTTGGCGTTTCCAAACACTTCAGGTAAGAACATGAAATACCGAGAAATTAAAAAAATGACTTTTAAAAAGAAAATCATAGACTCCTCGAATTAACTTTCACTTTTTGTATAGTAATGTTTTAGCACAAATATTTAAAATCTTTAGTATGGTTCTTTCAAATATGCAAATGTCCTTAATAAATATTTCCTCCACATTTACACTTTAAAGATTAAACATGAAGAAAATCCACGTCATAGAGCAATTCCCATTTCAGCAAGGACTCTCACCTTATTAGGGGTGGTGTGACTGAACAGAGCATGTGTGTTCTCCCGTTCATCACTCAGTGAGAAGGAGGACAAATGACTGAAGGGTCCTGGGGCAAGACGGTCAGCGTGGGAGAGGGTCTGTGGGAGCAGCAGGGACTTAGCAGGAGGATAGAGTTTAGTCTGGTACAAAGGATGCAAAGAAACAGGTTTGCAAGAGACTGTCACCTCCTGGGAAGAAGGGATAGAGAGGACATTAGAGGACAAAAGTCAAGCTCATGAAATTAGCTCTACACAATATAAGCATTGTGTTAGACCCTTTCAGTCAGAAAAATATATCTCTAAGCCCAAACTCCTTGTATGAATGGATTACATCTCTGGCCTTTGTGATCTTACTAATTTTTTAAGTAACACATTTAATTTTATTCTTTGCTTCCTTTTCTTTCCTGTTACTGGTATTTATATTGTTGTTACAGTGACCTAGAATTGGTTGCACAAAAGCCTGGCCATGGTGTTTGCTCACCCAGCAGTGCTCAAAGCTTACTTTTGACTATGCACTCAGGAAACACTCCTGTTGGACTCAAGGGTCCATATGGGGTGCTGGGGATTGAATCGGGGTCTGCCATATGCAAGACAAGTTCCTTACCCAATGCACTATGACCCTAACCTAATGCCTTTATTGTAATGTCTCCAATGGTTTTAAATAATACTAGGTTATGGGAAATGCAAAGGAATGCTTGGACACTTTTCCCATTAAAAGTAGTCATTAGATAAGTATCCTGATATGGTTCTATTTCTCAGTGAAGCATCTATCAAGAGCTACGTATATTTCTTAATCAGAGCAAAAGTGATTAACATGGAAAATTGAGTAGCCAGGATAAGACTAGTTGTGCAAGATAAAAGGGAGGATGTTTACTGATAGTGGAAGGTGTGCAGGAAAAGATGGACTGGGCAATGTTTTCATTTTATATTCTGGCGTTAGGTTTCCTTAGAAGGCTCAAGAGTCTCCATCCTGATCTAGAGGCAGCACCAGCAGGACTGTACTACTATACTGGCCGAGAAACTAGGTTGGAAGAGGAGCACAGAATCTTATCAGCACCCTGCGAGCTAGGGGAGCTAAGAATCTTGGAACACGTGATCATGTATGGTTGGCCATGCAGTACAATGGGCAAGGATTCTTGGTGGTGAACCTTCTTTTGACCTTCAAATGGTTATCACTGGAAACGCCAGTGCCACTCTGGGCTAGAGATTTCCTCTCTTTTGTGTAAATTGCTATCCTGCGATTCTTTTCACCATCAGCATGGAGTGGAGATCGTCTGAGTGAAGTCTATGTTCATTCTCCAGTTTCCAGCCCCTCATAACTTCTTATTCTTTTCTTTACTCTCTAGCCTAATGGAGCTCTTTGGGAAATGAAAGCAAATTTTGATAGCTTTCATGCTGAAAATTTTGCCCCACTCTCATAAAAAAAATTTTGAAATTAGAGTCGTGAGTTGCAAAACAGTTTCCTTTAGAATTTTTAAATTCTTGTCATATAGTACTAGTGTCACAAAACTATATATGAATGGAATAGTTCATCTTTTATTATCTTCTCAATATGTACAAGACATATTGAGAATTATGCATTTCTTTCAAGAACTATTTTAACTCATTCTGTAAGTTCCAAAAATAATTATTTTTTGTCTAGGTAAAAACTTTATTTTGAATTTTCTCTTAAATCTAAGATTTATTAAAAAGCAAAAACTTTTTACTATATACATGGAAGGTTTTTTTTAGGTTTTCTAATTATGTCATCATTAGATATTTTTATGATCAGAGAAACTTATGTGTATGATTTCTATCATGTCAATTAATAGCTTTTCTTTTGACCTAACAATTACTTTTTGTGATGATTCCACAAACATTAAAATTAATTATTTTGGATTTTGCTGCACAAGGTAAAAACAAATTTATAGTGATTATAATGAACTATAAATAATCTGTATTTAATTTATTTTCTACAGGGTCTATGGTAAGCTGAAAAATTAAAGTATGCTATTACTAATATATTTCTACTTTTTTACCCCTTTACTTTTCTGTTATTAGTGTTAATATTATATTTAGATTTTTGGAAATTATAGAATATAGAAATTATATTTTATATCTATATCTATCTAAATATTAAATTTGGATATTTGAAAAATATAGAATATAGAAATTATATTTTCCCTATAAATATTACCCCATAGCTTATAGATATTTCTTGCTTGTCTTGTTTAAGAAAACTTTGGCCTGAATTCAATCTACCCATTGTGAAGATTATAACTTCTTTCTTTTTGTGTATGGTTATTGTGTACTTTGTTATTTTAAATTGTTCTCAATAGATTTGTTTAGCACTGCGATAGGGTGTTTGCCTTGCACTCAGCCAATATGGCCAACCCGAGTTCGATTCCTCCGCCCCTCTCGGAGAGCCCAGCAAGCTCTTGGTTGGGACTGGTTAGTCCTTAAATCAAGCAGTAAAGATAGTCATATGTACAGTACAGAGTAATTGAACTATATTCATTCTTACTCAAACATAGTACTTCCTACAAAACATAACTTTTTATGTGATTATACAGATATACAGCTTCATGCCCACTGTTTTTCAAAATAAATTGGGTCAGGCAATTTTTGTTTTGTTTCGTTTTTAAACTTAAGGTTTTATTTTATTTTATTTTAATTTGGATAAGGTGGGTAAAATAGAGTTAAAGTTCATAACATTGATATATAGAACTACTGTACCACATCAGGGTTAGGGAATGCTTAGTTGCCAACATATGTACCTATATAAAAAAATTACATTGGGGGCTTCACACCAAGGTGTAATCTACACAATCAAGAAGAAGGTTTGTCGGGAGTATGGTACTGCCAGCAAGTCAGTCTTTACCTGTGAGGCGAGTGCATCAGCAGCCTGATGGAGCCTTCAGACTTCCAGATACCCCAAAATTGCTGCTGTGCCTTTGGACAGAACCCAAAAACTTAGGGCAATGTTTATCAAAAAAGTAAACAGCCAAAAGTCAGGTATGTGGGAGACACACCCACAAACCACCTCAGGCTCAGCTATATAATTGGAGACATGGGCTCTCTGGTTCCTGATAGAACTGCTTAACGGCCATGATCCCAGAGACTCAGAAACAAATCGCGAAACCCAGTGGCTTTTGGCAGAAATGTGTCTGGACCCCGCAGTAGGTTACTGTCATCCAGCCACCACAGGGGGGAAAGGGTTCTGCCCCTCCACCTGCTCCCCCTTGGAAGCTCAGTAGCCGCCATCCTCCATAGGCCATTGGACAGTCAGGTTTGGACCCGCAGTGATAAGACATGCAGGACCTCACGGGATGGGGGTGAAGCTGGCCCTTTCCTCCCCACCCCAACGAGATCCCAAGTCACTGCCCATGAACAGCCTCTTTGACTCCAGATTAAGCCATTTAATGGCCATGATCCCAGAGACTCAGAAACAAATCTTAAAACCCAGTGGCTTTTGGCAGAAATGTGTCTAGTCCCTGCAGTCGGTTACCAGTGCTGGGCAAACCCAGGTGGGAATAGGTTTGGTGACTTGACCTGTTCCTCCTGACCACCTGGTGGATGCCATACTCCAGAGGCCACTGGACAGTCTGGGCCCACAGTGACGAGATAAGCAGGGCCTCATGGGATGGGGGTGGAACCGGCCCTTTCCTCCCCACTACTGGGTCACTGCCCACAAACGGCCTCTATGAATACTGATTAAGCCGTTTAATGGCCATGATCCCAGAGACTCAGAAACAAATCTCAAAACCCAGCAGCTTTTGGCAGAAATGTGTTCGGACCCCACAGTGGGTTGCTGTCACCGGGCCATCCCAGGGGAGAAAGGGTGCTGTCCCTCTGTCTGCTCCCCCTAGGCTGCTCAGTGGCTGCCATCCTCCAGAGGCCAGTGGGCAGTCAGGTTTGGGCCCTCAGTGACAAGACACATGGGATCTCATGAGATGGTGATGGAGCCAGCCCTTTCCACCTCGTCCCAATGAGACCCATAGTTGCCACCCATGAACGGCCTTTCTGGCTCCTGATTAAGCTGCTTAAAGGCCATGATCCCAGAGACTCAGAAACAAATCACAGAACCCAGTAGGTTTTGGCAGAAATCCCTCCAGAATTGTTAAAATTTCAGAATTTCAAAATCTCGTGGCCACTACTGCAGCCACGTGACATCATATGTTGTTTATAACCAGCAATAGAAAGCAAATTGTCTACTTTTGCCTTCTCAGCAGATCTGAGTGTTGGGGTAAATTCCCAAATAATAATGGTGGGTCTGGTGTCAAAATATTGAATGTAATCAAAGTAGAGAGAGAGTAATGTGGAAATCAACAGGTAGGGGGAAGGTGTGGGATGGGGGGTATACTGTGGCTTTGGGGGATTGAGAACGGGCACTGGAGAAGGTATGGGTGTTTCATTGTATGACCGAGACTTAAATCCTAAAGTGTTGTAACTGCTCTGATGGTGATTCAATAAATAAAATAATAAAAAAAATTAAAAAAGGGGCTGGAGAGATAGCACAGCGGATAGGGCGTTTGCCTTGCACGCAGCCAACATGGCCGACCCAGGTTCGATTCCCAGCACCCCATATGGTCCCCTGAGCACCGCCAGGAGCAATTCCTGAGTGCATGAGCCAGGAGTAACCCCTGAGCATCGCCGGGTGTGGCCCAAAAAGCAAAAAAAAAAAAAAGTAAAAAAAAGTAAGGTGGAGTTCATGCCCAATTCAATCAGCCAATCAATGTCTGAATAAATAGAAGTACTCCTACATGAAAAAGAAGAAGAAGAAGAAGAAGAAGAAGAAGAAGAAGAAGAAGAAGAAGAAGAAGAAGAAGAAGAAGAAGAAGAAGAAGAAGAAGAAGAAGGAGGAGAAGAAGAAGGAGGAGGAGGAGGAGGTTTGTGGAGTCTGTGTATTCTAGTAGCTTTATCTTCACTCTCTTTGCATTGCTCCCCAAAGCACAGTGCTAGTCTCTCAAGTGATTTTTTGCACTATTTAGTTGTGGTCCAGTTGTTTGCATTTTAATGGAAATTAGTGCTTTTGTTTCTCCTTTTTGCTTCTGGATAGTGTAATAAAGGAAATTTCTTATAATAAATTTCAACATATTACTGTGACTATACTTGCCTTATTTAAACTAGGAATCTAATTTGAAGATCTTTTTTGAAGAGGATGGCGGGGAGGTCGCACCTGGCGATCCTCAGGAGTGACTCCTGGCTCT